AACATCATGCTAATCCCTCACATTAACATAGCCACTTCCGTGCCCTCTAATCCCTCACATGAACATCATGCTAATCTCTCATATTAACATAGCCACTTCCATGCCCTCTAATTTCACACATTAACTACATGCTAATCTCTCACATTAACATAGCCACTTCCATGCCCTCTAATTTCTCACATTAACATCACGCTAATCCCTCACATTAACATAGCCACTTCCATGCCCTCTAATTTCTCACATTAACATCATGCTAATCCCTCACATTAACATAGCCACTTCCGTTCCCTCTAATCCCACAAATGAACATCATGCTAAACCCTCACATTGACATAGCCACTTCCGTGCCCTCTAATTTCTCACATTAACATCATGCTAATCCCTCACATTAACATAGCCACTTCCATGCCCTCTAATTTCTCACATTAACATCATGCTAATCCCTCACATTAACATAGCCACTTCCGTGCCCTCTAATCCCTCACATGAACATCATGCTAATCTCTCATATTAACATAGCCACTTCCTTGCCCTCTAATTTCTCACATTAACATCATGCTTATCTCGCACATTAACATAGCCACTTCCGTGCCCTCTAATCCCTCACATGAACATAATGCTAATCCCTCACATTAACATAGCCACTTCCATGCCCTCTAATTTCTCACATTAACATCACGCTAATCCCTCACATTAACATAGCCACTTCCATGCCCTCTAATTTCTCACATTAACATCACGCTAATCCCTCACATTAACATAGCCACTTCCGTGCCCTCTAATCCCTCACATGAACATCATGCTAATCCCTCACATTAACATAGCCACTTCCATGCCCTCTAATTTCTCACATTAACATCACGCTAATCCCTCACATTAACATAGCCACTTCCATGCCCTCTAATTTCTCACATTAACATCACGCTAATCCCTCACATTAACATGGCCACTTCCGTGCCCTCTAATCCCCCAAATGAACATCATGATAATCCCTCATTAACATAGCCACTTACGTGCCCTCTAATTTCTCACATTAACATGCTTATCTCTCACATTAACATAGCCACTTCCGTGCCCTCTAATCCCTCACATGAACATAATGCTAATCCCTCACATTAACATAGCCACTTCCATGCCCTCTAATTTCTCACATTAACATCATGCTAATCTCTCACATTAACATAGCCACTTCCGTGCCCTCTAATCCCTCACATGAACATCATGCTAATCCCTCACATTAACATAGCCACTTCCATGCCCTCTAATTTCTCACATTAACATCACGCTAATCCCTCACATTAACATAGCCACTTCCATGCCCTCTAATTTCTCACAATAACATCATGCTAATACCTCACATTAACATAGCCACTTCCGTGCCCTCTAATCCCTCACATGAACATCATGCTAATCTCTCATATTAACATAGCCACTTCCATGCCCTCTAATTTCACACATTAACTACATGCTAATATCTCACATTAACATAGCCACTTCCATGCCCTCTAATTTCTCACATTAACATCATGCTAATCCCTCACATTGACATAGCCACTTCCGTGCCCTCTAATTTCTCACATTAACATCATGCTAATCCCTCACATTAACATAGCCACTTCCATGCCCTCTAATTTCTCACATGAACATCATGCTAATCTCTCACATTAACATAGCCACTTCCGTGCCCTCTAATCCCTCACATGAACATCATGCTAATCCCTCACATTAACATAGCCACTTCCATGCCCTCTAAGTTCTCACAATAACATCATGCTAATCCCTCACATTAACATAGCCACTTCCGTGCCCTCTAATCCCTCACATGAACATCATGCTAATCTCTCATATTAACATAGCCACTTCCATGCCCTCTAATTTCTCACAATAACATCATGCTAATCCCTCACATTAACATAGCCACTTCCATGCCCTCTAATTTCTCACGTTAACATCACGCTAATCCCTCACATTAACATAGCCACTTCCGTACCCTCTAATTTCTCACATTAACATCATGCTAATCCCTCACATTAACATAGCCACTTCCATGCCCTCTAATTTCTCACATTAACATCACGCTAATCCCTCACATTAACATAGCCACTTCCGTGCCCTCTAATCCCCCAAATGAACATCATGCTAAACCCTCACATTAACATAGCCACTTCCGTGCCCTCTAATTTCTCACATTAACATGCTTATCTCTCACATTAACATAGCCACTTCCATGCCCTCTAATTTCTCACATTAACATCACGCTAATCTCTCACATTAACATAGCCACTTCCATGTCCTCTAATTTCTCACATTAACATCATGCTAATCTCTCACATTAACATAGCCACTTCCGTACCCTCTAATCCCTCACATGAACATCATGCTAATCCCTCACATTAACATAGCCACTTCCATGCCCTCTAATTTCTCACATTAACATCACGCTAATCCCTCACATTAACATAGCCACTTCCATGCCCTCTAATTTCTCACAATAACATCATGCTAATCCCTCACATTAACATAGCCACTTCCATGCCCTCTAATTTCTCACAATAACATCATGCTAATCCCTCACATTAACATAGCCACTTCCGTGCCCTCTAATCCCTCACATGAACATCATGCTAATCTCTCATATTAACATAGCCACTTCCATGCCCTCTAATTTCTCACAATAACATCATGCTAATCCCTCACATTAACATAGCCACTTCCGTGCCCTCTAATCCCTCACATTAACTACATGCTAATCTCTCACATTAACATAGCCACTTCCATGCCCTCTAATTTCTCACATTAACATCACGCTAATCCCTCACATTAACATAGCCACTTCCGTGCCCTCTAATTTCTCACATTAACATGCTTATCTCTCACATTAACATAGCCACTTCCGTGCCCTCTAATCCCTCACATGAGCATAATGCTAATCCCTCACATTAACATAGCCACTTCCATGCCCTCTAATTTCTCACATTAACATCACGCTAATCCCTCACATCAACATAGCCACTTCCATGCACTCTAATTTCTCACATGAACATCACGATAATCTCTCGCATTAACATAGCCACTTCCGTGCCCTCTAATTTCTCACATTAACATCTCGCTAATTTATCACATTAACATCACTAGCCCCGGCCACTTATTTACGACCCTTGGGCTACACCCATTTCAAACCTTTAAAAACAGTCTGCCATCAGCAGCAGCCCATCGCTTTCCCACCTGATGACGGACGCTTGTGTTGCGCCCGAAACGTCGTGATCTATTTCATTTTTCTACCCACGTGACTTTACCGAAAGAACCAAAGCGTGTGGATTCCTGCAGTCACGAAAACTTTAAAATCAAGATTAGCTTCTGTTTGGTCTGATGGAGGGGGCTCAACGGGTGCCGGCGGTAGCTCGAGAAGAGGTGGGACTGATCGGACTTGCCGGCGACCGGTACCAGCGTCGTCAAGGTCCACCTATTTGGAGGAGGCTCGTGAAGGACGCTGCTGGCCAACAACAACGGAGGGCGGAGGAGCGACGCTCACAACAACAAACAGCGGTATAAAACGCAGCAAGTACCGCGCAGTCGGGAGCACAGGTGGTGCCTACGCCGTGTAAATTTACGTGGAGCCAGTCAACCCATGGCACCTGGGCGTACCCCCTGACCTGCCGACGAGCGTTCGACACTTCACGGCGCCTCAAGGTGCACCTAGCCTGGCACACGCACCGTGACGACGTCACTGCCACTTAGCGGCGAACGGCGATGGTCGTCGTCATCGTCATTGTTGTTGTTGTTGTCTTATGAAGTGGTCAACAACAGCACAGCGCAGTGGTGCACAACATCATCGCTGTGGAGACAAATGGGGCCGGCGTGGTGCTGCTCACCCATCCATCCGTCTTTCACCTTCATCACAGCGCTTGCTCGACCCGCAAGTCTGTTACCGGCTACACGGGGGACGATATTTCCCTTTGTTTCAGCAGGAGGCGAAATAGATGGGGAAGCAGAGCGAGGGACCATTTGATGCAAGGTTGCCATGGAGACATGAACCACGTGATGTCTGGATGTCAGAGATGGGATATGGGAAGTGTGTGTATGTGAGGTGTGTGTGTGTTTAGATTGTATGTGTGTTTGTGCGTTACTGTGTATCTGTGGTTACCGTGTGTGTGTGTGGTAAAACGGATACATGGGAGGTTATGTTGATATGTGTAAATTAAATATAAATTCGGGAATTGAATGTGTGAATCAGAGTGGGTGAGAATTCGGAATAAGCCGTGAATGAATGCCGTGAGATGTAACGGACTGGGTAACAGTGAAAATGAATGGGTTATCTCACTATCCGAATGCATCATCCAGCTAGCTGTGTCGATCTGTAAATGATATATGTGAACGAATGAGCTGTGTCAATGAGCTGTGCAAATATGTGAATGAATGAGATGTGTGAACGAATGATCTGTGTTTTTCACGAGTATAACAATGTGATTGCTTGAGATTGCGAATGGGTTGTGTGAAAGAATGAGCTTTGTAAATGTGTGAATGAGATGTGAATGCGTCGTATGTGAATGAATTACACGTTAACGAGTTGTGTGAATGTGTACATGAACGCACTGTGAATGAGTTATGTGAATGAATGACACGTGATGAATGAGTTGTGTGAATCAGTTGGGTGATGTGGATGGGCGTTTGTCTTAAGCGAGTCTGTCTCACTTGTCCGCGTGTCTCAGCGCGTTTGCTTTTCCTTGTGAGTCTGCATCCCAGGTGTCTCTGCATCTCATTGTCTCGCCTGTATCTCCGTACGTATTTCCCATTTATTTTGTATATCTCTGATGCGTGTCTCAGTGATGTCTCCCCAGTATCTCCACGTCTGCGCCCCGTGTCTCCCCAATGCCCCCCTACCCCCTCGTGCCCCATCGTCTCTTCTACGTGCCTCTCCCCCCCCAACACCATCCCCCCTATAATTGTACCCCGTGTCCCGGCGTCCCCACGTCTCTCGCCGTGTCTCCTCCACGTCTCACCTGAGCGACCACATGTACCCACCCCGGTACGGGAAGTACTGGTCCGGCGTCTCGCAGCAGTGCTTATTGTCCGAGAATCCGCAGCAGTACGTCCACTCCGAGGGGTCCCTCGTGCGTGGACACAGGAACGCGGACACGGAGTCGCGAGTCGCCGTCTCGTAGGCGGAGCACACGTGTGAGCCTTCGGCGTGCTCCCCCATCATCTCTGCGTGCCCCCCCCCCCAACACGCCTGTCTTCAGCTGGCTGTCTCCGCGTGTCTCCGCTGCGTCTGTCGCCCGCCTCCACGCCTCTCGGCTCTTTGTCTCCACGGGTCCTGGCTCTCTCGGTGTCTATGGCCCCTGCTGCCGTCGATTGTCTTCCACGCGTCTTCCGACGCCTCTGTATCCACGTAGCAGTGCCCGGCCCTGCGTCTCTCAGCTAACGCTCCCTGTGTCTCCGCATGTCACTGCGTGTAATACATTGCCTGCCTGTGCGTCTCCACGTGTCTCTCTACACACAGTGCAGCTGGCTCACACTCATCTCCATCCCTGTCTCTCTCCGTCTCCACCTGTAATTGTCTCCACCTGTAATTGTCTCCACCTGTAATTGTCCCCGCGTCTCTCCCTTCCCCTCTCCCCGATCTGCCTGCGTCGCTTGCTGTCTCGCCTCGGTATCCAATGGTGACATGCGGTGTGCGTTCTCTCATCTCTCCGTCACGTGATCTCTCTCTCTCCCCCTTCTCTCTCCTTGCCCCCCACACCCCCACTGACTCTCATTACCTCTCTTTCTCTCCTTTTCGTTTTACGATCAGAGGAAACAAGAAGATGCTCGGTGTAGTCGGCACTTTGCTTCGTTCATCATTTCGGTTTTTTTTCAATGCTTTGCTTTATGTGCCCTCCCCCCCCCCCCCCCCCCCCCCCGTTTCAATGAAAGATTTCACGAAAGATTTTACGCTCTTCTTCTCCTTCTTTCCCCTTCCCTCTCTCTCTACCCCCTTTCTCTCTACCCCCTTTCTCCCTACTCGATGTTCCCCCTGGTTTCTATGTAAATTTCTCTCTCTCTCGCCAACTCTCTCGCTCTCTCTCCTTTTTTTCCGTAACCATCTCTCCCTGCCTCTCCCTCCTTCTCTCTCGCCCAGCCTATTCCTCACTCTCTCCCTACCTCTCAATCTCTCACGTATTTTTTTATTGTCGATAAGATGAAGCTTAATTATTGTTTGTTTTTAAATATATACATTGGTTCATTAATCGGATGAGTGGAGTTTTTTGTTATTGTTGCCTGTGCCATGCCATATGCAACGTTTACAGTGCTGGGCGGCGGGTCGATGCTTTGGTCTTGTAAATAGGGGATAGGGAAGCTCTAAAGGCTCATTATTAAAGGAGCCCCCATCCACAGAGTACACGACCACCTCCTTCGCCTCTATCACCCACTGCTAATGGAAGGCCGCCGTTCTCCCCCCACCACCCCCGTTAGTCGGCCAGTGGTGGAACTCCGGCCACACCCTGGTGGAGAAGGAGGACCTTTGAAAAAGCCGAGGCTACTGGGCAAGCGGCTGCCTCCATCCCTCCCTTCATCCCTCGACCGCCTTCCTCCTCCCCCCTCTAAATAGGCGGCTTCGTGTAAGCCTTGATCACGTTCGCCAGCCCATCATGTCTGTGTTTGGAGTACGTGACTGTTCACTCACACTCGCTTAGCCATTCTACCCACCCAACCAATCACTTGGACACTCACGCACTCACTAAACTCACTCACCTATCCACATACACAAACCCAAACACCCATTCACAATCATCCACCAAATCGTTCACGCACCTATCCACTCATTCACCCACCCATGAGCACGTTTTAGCAGCCTATCTCTGGATATTTAGAGTCATCGTTCTTCTTGCGCGCAAATATGAGTGTCAGTGGGGAGAAATTGAGGCTGAATTTTAGCACAGAGTCGACCAGAAGCTTGCCAAGGTAGCCGAGGCTCCTGCACTGTGCGGACTGGAACGTGGCCGTCTCTGTCGCACCACAAAACGCACACTCATCAGATCCCGGAAAGTGTTGATGGTGACCGTGCGTGGTGGGCGTTGGAGTAGATTCTCCACCGGTGGTGGAAGTGGGTCGTGAGAACCGTACGTAAAGTTTTCTTCCTTTCACGTCACCCTGTTTTTTTAATTCTACCTCCCTCTGTCTATCTTTGCCCTGGTTTCTCTCCATGGGTCTCTGTCAGTCTCTAGACAAACCTCCCTGCCCTGGTACAAATGAACCACAACACCTTACTGATCTCGTCTAGAAGCACAAACCGGCTTTTGGCTGGCCACTGAACAAACACGGTCATCGCCATCGCGTGGCGCTTTCAGAAGCGCTTCTGCAACCGTCTGGAACGCTCTTCCTTCCTATATTAGGAAGCCACTGGAGCTATGCACTTTTAAATCATCCAGATTGAAACATAATTTATTTAGAACTGCTCTTTGTGTTTAGTTTTTCGTTCACCGGCACCTCTGATTAGCACGGTTGGCTACGTAGGGGTGCGAAAAAAAGTTCAACATACACACATAAGGCGAGGATCAGTCTCTACGTCAGCTGCAGAACGTAAATAATAAACACATCTTACGAGTGCTTTGTTCGATGTGAGAAGCAATGGCTGAGCCCAGTTGTGCTCGGCCTAACGTTAACTCAAAGGAGCCAGGGCCCTCAGAGTGACCCCAGAGCCTCACGTTGGCCCTTTGGGGAGTGAAATTTAAAACCTCGCGTCACGTGCTTTCTGTCACGTGTTACAGTATAGTACACGGTGTTTGAAATAGATGGACCCAATTTCAAAGCAGTATATTTCACGATGGCAACATGTTACCATTACACAAAAAGTTACATACGGTTTAATAAGTTATCAAGTTTTACTAACTATTTTATAAATGCTCTATGTACCCTCCACCTGCTGTACGGACAACATCGAGACGATAGTTGAATTCGTCCCAAACGCCTCTCAATGTATCTTCTTCCACTGAAGTCACCACTGCCGTGATTCTGTATTTGAGGTCATCCAGATTAGTCGCTAATGGTGGTACAAAAACACGGTCTTTGACGTATCCCCACAAGAAAAAGTTGCAGGGTGTGATGTCTGGGGATCTTGGGGGCCAACAGTGGAGCTGAGGCAGTGTGTCTTGCGAATTACTGAGACTAGGGGCTGTTTGTGCGCTGGGAGAGGCATCTAGCGGTAATCATTTGGAACTCTATGACCCGCCCTTTCAAGTGGTAAGAGTTTCATTCATGGGCTGTTCGTGGTTGCAGAGATATATCGATTTCAAATTGGGTCCATCTTTTTGATACACCCTGTATAGTCAGAGGTGTAGTGTGATGTAAAGGCAGAATCGCACAGCTGCCAACCCATACGGTTTACCCGTATCCCTGTACAGAAACATTGAGTTTTCAGGTCCATACGGCGTACGGCCGTTTCAATACGGGAAATAAAATGTCTCGTTTGTGTTTCTCCCTTGTGATGGAACTTTGTAGGATGAACGTTGAGATTTATAAGGGGCACGGGGTGACCAATAAGGTCTGAATTGGTCTGTAATAATGTAGGCAGCACTGATAAGGGGTTGTCAAGTACGAGATCGTGGCTTTGTCGACGGTTGGTGGTTTGGGCCAACGGGGCTTGGCCCCCCTGGGATTTGCTGCGTCGAAAAACTCTGACATTCACACCTCTGAAACCGGGACTCGGTGAGCGAGCGCAAGCTCTCCACGGGTAGGACACGTGGTGGACCAACGTAATCCGTGAACCCCGTGGCGCTGGGCGCGTCAGTCTACCACGTCCTCTGCTCGTGACAATCTTGCGCTGTCTCGTTTTTGGACATTAATTTTTTTCATAATAAGCACATTCATTTAGAGACCGTGAGTTCCATCCCAACCCTGATGCCTGTATATTTGGAGTTTGCGTGTTTTTCTCCCCACGGTCGCATGGATTTTTATCTGGGTCCTCCGGGTTTCCCCTCCACATTTAGAAGCATGCGTCAATGAGTAATTTGGCTGCTATAAATTTCGACATAAGCTATTTTGTTTAGCTATCATTTGTGGCCAGGTTGCTTCTGAAAAATATAATTTTAGCTGAGTGGGCCTTACCTGGTAAAAAAAAAAATAGTTTCAAATAAACATAGTTTAGTTTTAGATGGTCGCTCACTTTACTGAGTTCCCGAACTCACAACAACTCCAGCTCTCAAATCGTTATCCAGAAGCTCCAAAAAAACACCTTAGTGATTCAAAATAAACCTATCATGGAAGGCCGTTGCTGTAAAAACCATGCACATCAGCTGTGTTAAAAAAATATCACTCTGCAAGACACCACTTAACTCGGAGACCGTTTTATCCCCCTCTGTGGTGACGATGGCACGGCGGTTGTGCCCCACATCATCTGCCCACCTCGAGCGGTCGCGCGATGCAACAGTCCATCATTTGGTTTCTGCACACACGAGTTGATTTCATCTCTTCACTTCCACATTGGACGTCCTCCCGGGTATGCTACTCCATCATGAGTCTCCCCCACCGTGTCCTGCGCAAGCCCCCTACTCTCCTCAGCCAATCCGATGTCTCTAATTTGCATTTGTTCGTCGTCAATGAAGCAGAACCTGTAGTTGGATCGCACTTTCGCAGATCTCTTTACCCAGATATTAAATTCTGTGCCTCTTCAATTCGTTCTTCTCTTCAAAACTTGAGACCAAACTAATTTGAGGAATTACAGAAAAAATAGCCCTCTATTGAAACGTACATAAACTAATCACTTTTATTTTAAATTTTATTTTACCTACGTGACTTTACCGAAAAACCAAAGAGTATGAATCCTTGCAGTCAGGAAAGCTTCAAATCTAGAACTAATCACTAAACTTATAGAGAACAATAATTAGTATGCATTTATGTCAACCAACCATGGAGGAAATATGGTTTTACATATTTTTTTCTTCTAAATTTTACCACAATAATATCCTTGCAGTAATCAGTTCCTCATGAAGGCAAATTAATTTTAAATATACAGTATATCTGTTTTTTGCAGATTAAGAAATGGAAATGGTATGCAGGAACTGATGCAGCCAATCAAACTCACACAATACAAGGCCCCGATGAAAATAATAAATATAATATTGAAATGATAAAAATCCGTGTACGGTGTATAAATATGTAAGAGCTACACTCAGATTGCAATCAGAAAGTAACAAAACACACCCTGACATCATCGTCAAACACATTCGTTGGCGATGCTGTCGCGTTGGCAGTGGAGCACAAAACAATACAAAAAAGACTCAAGACTCGTCAATAACTTTGTGGTCTTACAAACAAAAAACACGCCTTCATAGCACAATGTGCCTGAAACGCCGCTCAATAGATTAATTTTAAGGCCGCAGTGCTATTTGCGATTGCGTCGGGTTTTTTTCTTTATGACACCATAACGGGTGACTTCCATGAATTAGTAAAAGGTGCAGCGATAAGAGTTTCGGGAAATCTACGACCGAAGGAAGCTCCCATCACGCCAAACAAAAGGCGGTACAACCCGAACATGCATTTGGAAGTCGTGGGGTACAACAGCAAAATCCGACGCAAATCGTTTGCTGCCAATGATTTTACATCCAGCAGGGACGTCAATATAATCTACGATTCTTTTCAAAGAGCAGTCTATAAAACAAACACGGAGGAGCCCAAATTGAGACGTAAGTGTATATTTAAATGGGCTTGATTTCCAGACGAATCCCAGAGCAGCGTCAGACGTGTAGATATCTGTCTTGTAGCGGATTCAATACGACGAGAAGTGCTCATAAGCTGGTGGAGTGCAAATTATACTTCAACATTGCCAAAGACAGGAGGACGAAGTTAATTATAGCCAAGCACAAGATCGATTACGTCAAGACTCGTCTACAGAAGGTAAATACTAAGATCTATACTTCGATCAGAAAGCACTTCATCGAGGTCCCTGAGATATTCGTATCGCCTTCTCCTCAGTGCTCTTGAGGTCAAGGCTCATTGCGTGGAGTGATGGGGATTTTGCCAGGATAGCTCCTCAGCTTTGGAACGCTTTGCTAATAAGACAATCAGAGTCGCTAACTCTATTTAAGTCCGTCTTGAAAACTCACCTCTTTAAACTGGCCGTTACCCATCTACTAGTTATGGCCGTTTACCCTGGCTATGTTTATTTCCTGCTGTCCATACACGGCACGCATTATAACACTGCTTTAAAAGAAAGGATATATATATACGTTAAAGGCTACGTTTCGTCAATAACACTGCCATAAAATAAAACAAAAACTGAATGATATCGGCGACGTTTCAGGCAATGGCCTTTCTTCGTAGGACATCATCTGGAATTGTTGGGGGCCTATGTGTGTCCCATTGTGATGTTTTACATCAGAATCAGAAATGTATCTCCCGAGTAAAGCCCATTGAGCCGTGAAGCTCTTCTTGTTCAAGGGCGACTCGGCCATTCCATTGGACGTGCCCTTGTTCGGGGCGCGCCGTCTTCACATTTGCGGATCCTCTTGGACGCGTGTTTCCATGACCCAGTGTCCTTCACTGCAAGGCCCCTGGCGGCCCACTGACGGCCCCTGGTGGCCTTGCGTGCGGTCCCTGACGTGCGGGTCCCCGACACTAGACTAACAGTGAAAACATCCCCATTTTCTTTGGTTCTTTCGGTAAAGTCACGTAGAATGAGTAATAAAATAATAAAATAACACAATAAAATTATCACGACGTTTCGGCTACAACGCAAGCGGCCGTCTTCAGGTGAAAAGTAGAGAACTGTCGGGACGACAGAGCTTCAAATCCCCATTATTATCGTGCTGTCACCCCTCCCCGCCCCCCCCGCCCCCCCCCCCGGTTTCAAATCGCGTGGCGGCCCTCACACTGATGTGTGACCTCCACCCCCTCTGAAACTTAGTGAAGGACGCTGCCCTAACTTGAGGACATTGGCGCGTCTATTATCCAGACGACCCCTCCCCTCCCCATCCCACCCCCGCCCACCAACCCCCCACTTCATTATGCGTGGACGTGTGGGCGGTGCTCATGCCACGTGGGGATTCTGGGCGTGTGTTGTGCTGCTGTCCGTCCATGGGAGTGCGCGGGCGTTGAACGCCAACGCCGCGGTGAGCGCGCGCTCAGTGTGAGCACGCACGTGGCAAGAGGAGTCCAGCGGTGACTGAGTGCGGCCGGTCGTGAGCCGTGGGCGAGTTGTCGCGTGAGTCCTCAGGACAGCACCATGCGTCTCATCGTGGCTTTAGTTCTGCTGCAGCTCATGACCGGTGAGTGGATACATCGTCGTCATCATCGTCATCACCGTCGTCATCGGATCAATCAACATCATCAACATCATTACGCCAACATCATCATTACCATCATTCATCATTATCGCTAACAATGAAACTAACATCGTCAAGCCGACATCACCATCGTCACCGTCATCAGATCAACATCAACACTCCCAACTTCATCATCACCACCATCGTTAACTGAACCAATACATCATCAACATGCTCCCATCATCGAAATCATCACCACTATCAAAGTACTGTGCTGCCATTATAAATGTCATCACCTTGGTCAACTGCACACCATCATTACCAGAATCGTTATGCTCTAGTATAAATACGTAATGATGTTAAAAGAAAACAGTTCGCTGCATCATCATCATCACCATCATCCCAGTATTAGCATTGTCCCTGAGCACAATGCTTCGCGTTAAAGTTATGCTGGTGAATGCTGTCGTAGCGCAGTGCCCTAAAGTGGAATTTCTTGGTCCGCTCGGATTTTTACGAAGAGACAACAAAAAAAGGGCTCGTGGATCTGGCACGTCTCGTTGTCCGTGAAGAAACGCGAGAGAGTTGAGGAAGGCAAAACATCGCCCGACGAGACGATGGCCCTCGGGACGAGACTGGCGACGGAATAGCAGCCAAAGGAGCGGGGAGGGGGGGGAATTACCGCTAGCGATGAGATTCGTTTATGCGCAGGCAGGAGCGAGGTGGATGAACGCAGCACCCGACCCTGAGGGTTGGTGACGGCGTGGTGAGACCTTCCATCCAGCAGTGGATAGACAATGGTTGATGGTGATGATGATGAACGGGAAGTTGGCGGTGAGAGAGGGTAGCGATAATGGTTTGAGCGCTGCGGTAGGAATCCAGCTACCTCGGTTCGATTCCCAAACACAGGTTCCATCAGTGACGAGTGATGATATCGCAACCGGTCCTGGGTCCACTCTCCAATAAGCCCGTGCTGACCAGTGGTCGTGAAGTTATGGTCAAACAAACCGCGTGGTCGACACGTCATAAAGAGGGGGACTTCATTCAGCAGTAGATTGACAGAGGGCTGTACATTATTATTGGTTTTCAAAGGTCATTAATATTGGTGTAATTTTAATCATCGTTATTTGAACTCGCAGAGCTCACTTGTAGTTCAAAGGCTGTTTGTCTCCCTGTGTTGTCAGTGCTGGAGGCAGGAAAGAAAACGAGTGTTGAGTTGGATTCCTGTGTTTAGGAGTCGTCTGCAACACGCATCGCGCCTTGGCGATATTTTTGTGAGCAGATGGAGACTTGGGCTCAGTTTTGGCCAGAAATCTGATTTTTTAAAAAGAAGAAATGAGCATTCGTCAAGATGAAAATCCGATGATAGCACTGACATCACGCTGCTGTGTTGGCCGTGTTGCTGCTGTTCCGTTACCATGAGCACACCCACTGCGGTTAGAGTGCGCGCCATCAAAATCACGTGCGCAGGGGGCAGTTATATCGTGGCCCGCATATAACAGAGTTTTAATTTTTTGGAGGAAACACTTAAACGTGGAGACATTTTTTTTTATTTAACGGTGTGAAAAGCAATGACGACTTTGTTGTTATCTGCGTCTCCACGTTGCGTACGAACGGCACGTGCCAGACTGTCCCACGTCAGTAAAGTGACCAACCCCCTGTAGCTTTGCAACGTGTGTTCCAGAATTGGCCTGTGATGTCCAGTGGATTCAGTGCTGTGTTGTTGTTGTTTTCATGTTTTTTTCTAAACTGCCTTCACCGTAGAGTTATTGTCTCATTATTGAGGCGGTGCTTTCCAATGTGATTTCCAGTTTTTACGTTTACTGCTGGAAATACGCATCTGAAAGTGCGTGTGTGTGGTGTACCTTGGGGAAATATTGAAGGCAGACTGGGATCACATATGATCAAGTAAAGAGGTGAATGGCAACAAATCTGGGGTGGCTTTCTTTTTTTTTAGAAAACTTAATTTTATCATGAAAACCAACACGTAACCAGTGTGCCCAGAAATCAAAGTTTTCAATCAGTGCGCATTTCGCTGCCATGTTGCGACACACGGATCTGAAATGCGGACGCAATTAAACCAGATGGCAAAGGTGCGCGAGGAAGCATCGAGAGATTTCTACTTGGAATTAATTTTGACTGAGAGACAGAAATAGGAACACATTGATCACGGGAACAAAGACCAGCTCCGAGACGTAATTCTGGACTGTTAGGAAAAGGAAGTGGTGGTGCTGGGCCAGGACCCATTGCCGGTAGGGACTGTGGGTGAGCTTATGGACGAGACTGGTGACTTTAATGGTAGCCAAAGGAGTGAAGGACGCACGTGAGGACATTCACCTTCAGGAATGAAAGCGTTGAGATGACCTCATATACATGTGGAGCGCGATGGGTTGTGGCATCGCAGGGATTGTGCCAAGATGACGATATGGAGGTGGGGGGGCGGGGGGCAGGGGGGAGGAAGCCTTCATCCAGCAGTGGAGAGTTCATGGCTGATGAAGACATTAATGGGTAGGTGACATGAAGAGGAATCATTTTGAAGTAATCCAGCTGATTGCTGGTTACTCGAGACTTTAGGCGCACTATATATGGTCACTTCAGAATAACTTAGTCCGATTAGATTGTTGATTTACATTATGGTCATGATTATTCGAATGAACATGCACAGTACAGTACCGCGTTGTCTTGGTTTCACATCAGAAATATCAGCACCGCGTGGCGCGAATTGCAGACTTTGCACAACACTGGTGACAACGGGTGGTTCAACTTTCGTTGATTTTGGAGATAAAAGTACGTTTCATTATTTTGGTAGTCGCACACAGTACAGCACTGTCAATATGCCCACTGTTTCTGTACCACTGCTTGAGATGCGGGTTTTTTTAATTTAAACGCTTACAAAAAAACATCACATTGTATCCTATTGTGCTGAGATATGTGTGCCTTGGAACCCAATCTGCTCAAATTTGCTTTTTTTTAAACAAAAATAAAGCCAAGAGCATGTGATCTGCAGATGTAGGGGGTTTCAGAGAGAGCGAGTCAGGGCTAGAGGCTTGGGAGAGATGTGTGAGCAATCATGTGACCTCGCCTAAACAACTAACGTATACAACGAGGGCAGAGTGGTGGAAATGGAGTGTGTGAGAGACACTCATACCCAGGGTTCAAACCTATAGGGCCGGAGAGGTAGTGGGCTGGGTGTCCCCAACAAGACCATGATGAACTCCCCGAGAGAAAGAAGTCCATTCATCGTGGGTTGTGGACTCAGGACATCGGTGGGATTGTCTGAGTGTCTCCGACGTGGCCATTATGAACTTCGAGAGAGAGAGAGGTATTGTGAGAACAGCAGGAGAATGTCACATCACAGTGTAATGAGTGGAAACAGATATTCGTTGTGACGTAGGGTCAAGAGGGTGTGTGTGGGTGTGTGCCTGTGTGCGAGTGTCTGTGTGTGTCGGGAGCGGTGGTGTAGCGGTTAGCGCGCTGCACTACGAACCCCACCAATACCGGTGACGATTTTAAAAACCGGTCCTGGACGTCCCCTAGGTCGATTCAGCCTCAAATGAGTAACTGTTGCGGTGTGTTAACAATCGCCACTAGGGAGACAAAGGCGACCGGGCGTGGTGCTGGCCATCCCCCCCGTCCCCCTCCCTCGTGTACCGTGCCGGCCTTCATAGGTGCTACTCGCGAACAGCGATTGTACACAACAGTCTGTTAAGGCGACACGAGGGTTGTTTGTGGAGAGCAGTGAAACAGTGGTGAAATTGTGAGCGCACTCCGCCACGAACCCTTCGACCCTGGTTCGATTACAGGCAACAGTGGCGAATATAGTCAAATCTAGTAAGGGGAAAAACAAAGGTGGCTGGACGTGGTGGTGGCGACACCAAGCCCTCTTGCGCTCTGTTGCGTGGCCTTAATAGGTGCTCGCTAACAGGACCTGACCCAGCAGTCTGTATGGCTGTAGTGGGATCTGTGGCTTTCGCTTTGTGTGGTGTGGGGAGGATTGGTGTGGCGGTTTGCACACTTCGCTGTGTCAGATAAAACAAAGAGCGTACAGAGCTCAGGAAAACCGATCGGGGGGAAAAAAAAGAGCGAGCAAGGGGAGAAACGAGAAACCCACGATCCCAAAGTGATTCAAGATGCATCCACAGGCAAGGGGCGCTTGAGCCGCAAAACAGACGGGGTTGATTGGTAAATCAAACAAATAGCACGTACAGTATATACCAAGTTTACGTGGAACGTTGGGCCATCTTTTGGACCAGCGCTGCATTTTTTTTGTCTGTACTGGGGAGAGCCGATGTCTAACGGAGATGGACCTTGCCTATAAACATCTGGCTGGCATTTCACCAGCATTGGTTCAAACAAGCCTGACTCTACCGTTGAGTCACTGAATGTGAAAACAGTTCAGTTTTAGTTCAGAGTTTTCCTTGTGTTAAACCAATGCTGCTGACATGATGCACTCCTAGAAGGCTGCGTTACTGATTGGATGTGTAAAATATACTTTTTTATTGTTTCATGTGGAGGGACAGATGTGTGAAGGAGGCGTATTGTCTGCTGGTTTATGTTGCTACGAATAGGAACAGGCCGGGTGTTGTGCTGGCCATATCATCACCTGGTGTGCTTTTCCGGCCTTAATAGGTGCTCACTAACAGAACTTACTCCTGCAGCTACACAGGCGGGGTCTTTGTGTGTGGAATTCTGCGAAGAAACAGATACGCATTGTAACGTAGGATCAAAGAGAGAGTGTGTGTGTGTGCATCCGTATGTGTGTGTGTGCCTTTGTGGGGAGCGGTGGCACAGCGGTTAGCGCACCGCACTACGAACCCGGCAAACCTTAAATAAGTACCTGATGCACGACGTAAACGTAACCACTATGGAAACAAAGACGGCCGGGGGTGGAGCTGACCACCCACTCGTGCCGACCTTCATAGGGTGCTCGCCAAAGGCGATAACGGGGAATATTTTGCCTTTGTGTGGAGAGCAATGGTGTGATTCATTCCTAGATTTAAAGCTTT